TTAACCTGTTTGAAAGCTAAAATGTTTATTTATTATATTTATAGAAGCTGGCTACCATCAATATCAGGGGACTCAAAAATTTATTTCAAAATTACCTTTTTTATAAGTGGTGTTAAAAAAATATATTAAAATTTTGAGGGGACTCAAATTTTTCTTCAATACTATAATACACAGATTTCGAGTTCAAGTTTGAGCCCATTTTTTTGAGCTCCAAGGTTGAGCCATTTTTCCGACTTTAAGCTGGGCTAAGACGTTTTGGAGTCGGCTTGAGTGGAGCGAATTTGCATCACTAGACCTAATTATTTCACATGACCTCCAGGTTAAAGAATCTAAAGACTTGTGCGATTATGAGAATTTAAAATTTTTTTTTTTTTAAATATATATATTAATACATAATTTAACTTCTTCTTCTGATGATACTCATTCTGAGACGATTGAAAAAACTATTTGTCTATTTTATATTATCGTTTACTTTCTAATTTTTCTACTTTCCCTAATTTATAATTTTATATTAACTATTTCTACTCACTCATGCTGTCCCGAAGATTCATAAATAAAATGAAAGTACCATGAAAGATCTCTTTCTTAATAATTTAACCATTTTATGGAACAAAATTTATATAAACAATTAAATATTTACGAAAAAATATTCTCTTCCCCTTATATATCTAAGTTATTAATTTTAAAAAAAAATCTAAAAATTTTTACATTTATATTATATAGTAAAAATTGGTGCAATAAAAAATTTTTGAAATTTATAATTGAAGTTGGGAGTCAAGAAATAATTAGCTACTTTAGAGAGGGGTATTAATGTTTAAGGGGTGTTTAAGGGGTATTATGCTTCACTGCATTCACTTATTTGAAAAAAAGAAGAAGAAAACAAATCTTTGATTAGTTTTATATTGAAAAGGTTTTTTGATTCTTATCACTATGCAAAGTCTTTTATTGTGACACATATATCTTTTATATTATATACAGTGGCAATCAAAATTTTTCGATGGGGTGGGGGGAGAGTGGTTTAAATTCACAAACCTCTTTTTGTTTTAAAAAATTTTTGTATTAAAATGGCCCTTAAAAATGTGAAGCTAATTAATAGCTTTACAGATTAGAAATTATATTAAAGTAATTGGTTGTCTTTATACAATCTCCGTTAAAGTTGACTGAACAAGCCCTAATTCTAAAATATGACAATGTTTTATGCAATATTAGTAATATCTAACTTTAGCGTGTATGTTAGCCAGTATAATGGTAAAAAAATTAATTAGTGACTGAAAGCGTTCTGTATATTTTATTTTTATCAATGTTTAAAGCTTAATTGTAGACCAGGTGCGTAACCAGCGGGAGCTAGGGGGGGGGGGAATAAATCACCCCCCTACCATAGCAAGAATTTTTGAAAAGTATAAAAGGGTTTCATGAATTATGAATTGCAAAGTATTCTATTTCAAATAGGTTATATTCTATTATAAATATTAGCAAAAAGTTAAAATTAATTTAATATTAAATTCTTGTATATTAATATTCTATCTTATTAAAATTTAAAATTTATTTCCTAACATTTTTTTAAACCTCAAACACTGATGGATATAAGAAAATTTAATAACCAAAAAAAAATATTTAATTTATAGGGGTGTATGAAATGTTCAGATATCCTAATAGACAGAATTTGTTGAATATAGATATTTCTGAGACTTCTTGTGCTACACGAAAAAAGACACTGTTAAAAATCCTGCATGACAAGATATAGCCTTCGACATAAAGCTGTAACAGATTTTTTTGGATCTAGAAAAACTTATTTTGTATGCCCTTGGAGAAATATGAATAACCTGAAACATATATTTCATCTGAAACTGATGCATTATTAAATATTATATGACTACCGATTTTTTTCATTGGATTGGAATGTATAAATAAATTATTTATTACACAAAATGCAATATTTTTCAAAAAATTTATTTGGCAAGAGGTTATGAGAATCGCGAATATAATTTTATTGCTGCGAAAATTAAGAGATAATATCAACCAATAATTTTGATTTATGCGACTTCCACCGACAAACAAATTGTTCCAATATTAACATAGACTTCATTGAGGATTACTAAAAAACAACCATTTTAATTTCACTTTTGGATGCATTTTAGGCTCAAATCAATAAATGATTTGTGATTCATCAAATGCCTCTATTTTATTTACTATATATCAATAACTCACCCTGATCTGAGGATATATTAGATCTTATATTGAAAAAAATTAAATATTTAGCTAAATTTACGGATATTAGTGTATCTGAAGGCCAATTAATTTCAGAATATTAATCTTGGTATAAAAGATTAATCGTATATTATCTTCCAAGAAATGCAATGAAAGAAAGCATTGCATACTTTTAAAAATATTTTATTAATTTTTCAAATATATTATAAATATTGTATATTTTGGCAATACCAATTAGTACAGGAAAAATGAAAGGACCTTCTCTTCATTACAGATAATAAAACCCTATATCAAAAGTATAACATCTTAAAATTGATTGAATAAATAGACTAGTTTCACTCAACGAGATTACACAGAACAAATTATTAAAAAATTAACGTAATTGCAAAAAAGATTAAATGTTCATTTATGAATATTTTGACTAACTTTTTAAATCATTATAAAATGTTTGATCTTAATTTTATTGTAATTTACATACCGGTTTATATAGCTATAATATTTTTTAACCGTAATTGCTCATATTTTGTATTTTACAATATTTTATTATTTAGGTTAGAGATTATCATATTTTCAAACATCAAATAAATTTTATAAGAAGATTAGTTCTAATAAATTTTATATGATGGATAGTTCTAATAAATTTTTAATGCAAAAAATCCTTTTAATATAAAAAATTACCCCCCCCCCCCCCCCATTGGAAATTATTGGCTATGCGCGTATTCAAATTTAATCCGTTTGGTAGACAGTATAAAGAAAAATGAAAGTTGCCAAAATCAAATATGAGAACCGCAAGAAGAAACTGAGTTATAAACAAAATGAAAACTATGACGTCATATTTTAAGCCTGAATTGAGCCAAGCTTTTGGAAATACTAATTCTAAAACTTATACTAAACCGTTAAGTAGGGATTAATTAGTATATTTTATTGCTGTATTCTGCCTGGTAATTGATTTAAAGAGGAAAAGAATTATTAAAAATAAAAAATTGTAAAATTGGCAACGTGCCAGAATGGAGAATATAGAAGTTCTAAGTATATGGTTTGAGTTTATAGTTCTTTATTAACACTTTAATCAATATCCAACCATTAAAAAAAATAACCTAATTATGAACCCAGAAGCTAACTGTAATATCATGTCTTAAGCGGTTGGTCAAATATCTGAAAGCATGATCTCGGAAATTTATCAATAATTAGTGCCTATTCTTTAGTACTTCAACCCGCTTGGTATATTGTTTATTTATGAACAATATATAAATAGTACTTACTAGTTTATCGATCAGTTTTTTCAGTCAATGAATAAAACTAGTTATAATAAGCGAAATAACTATTATGGCGTCTTAGGCGGAATCGTAAATATTGAAGTTTAAATCACGATTCAAAAAGTCATTTCATCTGAATACATTAAGGTTTCTCTTTCCACGATTCATGATATTTTTGAGATCTTATTTTTTTTTCTTTTCAGTTGGTTTAATAAATATAGAAGTAATCTAAATCTCATTAAATTTTAAATCGATTTATATTTTCAAAAATTTAACATAAATCTGATATTGAGACTCTGTTCCGAGCTTGAAGTTTGCAGTTTTTGATAGCACTAATTCTAAAGCTTACGCTAATATGCAATGCCTAAAGTACACATTTTAGTTTATCTTCAATTCACATGTTAAATAGTATAAATAAGAAAGTTATAAACAAAATTCGAAAATTACTTTGATATCAAGATTAAAGATAAAACGATTCTAAAAGCACAAAACAATATTGAAAAAATAAAATAAACAAAATTTCTAAAATAAGTTTAACTAATATTATCATTATAAAAAATTACTATCATCTTTTAAAAGAAGTAACTCAATATGGGTGTAGCTTTAATACTTTTATATTTAATAGCAGCATAAAAAGGTTAATGTTAGTCGCTACCTTAAGGTAATACCTATCAAATTTGTATATTATTTATTTTTCATTTGGAAAGGCACTATCAAATTTTGTATAATATATATTTGCAAATCGTGATTTTCGGAAAACCTCTGTGGCTTGGTCGACAAGAGCGTCGCTTACCAATGTGATGGTTTTGGATTCGAATTCCAGCAACGATCATTATTTTTTCCTTATTCTAACTTGGTGGTTCTGTCCTTGGGTTGATGAATATAGGAGGCTGGACTCGACTACATGATTCCGTTATAATATATATTAAATAATAAGGGCCTTATTACATTTTAATCAATTTTGATCGGTAATTAGCAAATTTGGTTGGTATTTAAAAAATTTCTATACGCTTTATTAGTAGTGACTATGATTAACCGAATAAAAGGTAGTCAAATATATTGTGGCATATGTGCTTAGCATTCGATAAAATGGGAATAAATTAATATTACTTTATAATGAAATTAACAAGCTAGAATTTTTTTTAGATAAGGTTTTTGCAAAATTATTTAAAAATATTCTGTAGGCCAAAATTATTATTTACAAATTAAAAACTAAGAAATAGTTGTATTTCAAATTTAAACCATTTTTATCATCAATTTAGTGAATTATTATTTTTTACATTTTTTTATGCACCCCGCCCCCCCCCCTCACCATTCCACGCCAACGCCACTGGTTATATATAACGTAGCAAGATAAGGACAAGGGAGTAGTTATATTGTTAAATCACATATTCAAAAAATAATGTAAATCATTGATTGTGAAAGGATTTTATAAAATTAGCATTTATAAAAATTAAAATAACACACCAAAACATTGTATTTTAATTATTTTTAACATTACCTGACCGCTTACATTTTGGACTTTACCTGTAAAACATTCATTCATTTATTTTTAAATTCATTGATTTTTTTTGAATTTGATGAAAAATCATATAGATCACATTCCAATTGTTGATGGTTTATCAGCAAAAGAACTGTTTATTAGTGATGGAATTACTTATAAGTTGATTATTTTGTATATCGTTCATATATTTATCATTTTATATAGTGACTTTATAATATTACCAGGATTTATATCTAATCTACCTAATGACATAGTAATATTTTTATTTATTTATTCTATATAGATTAATATAAAATATTTGTTTATTATTTATCATTATAAATTTGGTTTAATATTTAATGCTTCTAAATGAAATTATATATTGTGAATTTTGTATACTATTATTTATATTCAATATAATATAATAGCTAAAGATGTAGCACAAGAGAAATAATTTATAAAGAATATTTTATACTCAGTAAATATTTTCATACCCGCCTTTTAAGTATCAAGCAATTTTTTTCAATCACTTAAGTCCAAATATAAGTTTGGTGTTCTCTATACACCCAAATATTGATATATATTTAAAGATACATATAAAATTATTACTTTTATAATTATAGCTCTTAATGCTTAATATTAAAAAAAAGTTATAAAAAAAAGGCTTGGACTTTTTTCCTTTTTTCAAACCAGAACAAAAATTGCCCTAAGATTATGACAAAGCAATTATTGTATTTGATTTTATTTAAATTTTTATAAATATGGATAATTTATACTTTTAAGTTAAAATTCCACTTTCCCTAGGCAAAAATAAAAATTTGGACTTGTTGATGTAAATAATAGAGAATGTGTGCAGCTTAAGTTTAAAAATAAATTAGAAATTTTCCATGCTCAAGCCAAAAAAAAAATTTTGTAGGGTTTTATTTATAAGCATTTTATGCCAGTAAACAGAACTTTCATTTATTTTCCTCATTGATAGGTAGCTTAACTGTGGTGCGATCTCCTATGAAATATTTCTATTCATTATAAAATATTCATTTATAAAAGAAATCTATCACTTTTTCTCTTAAAAATTATATTTTTTTCTAAAATAGACATTGGCTTATTCTGAATTTTTAATGTTATACAATACAATACTTAATTTTATTTATTTATATATTTGAAAAAAAAATTAGGGATAAGAAAGAAGCCAATTTTTATTTGTAAATAAAATCTGTTGATGGTATTTTTTCTATGAAAACATTCACAGAAACATTTGATCCTAAATACTATTCAGAGTGTATACTCTTGATATAAAGTTTAACTGACTCAAGATAATATTCTTAAAATTCTTTCCTCTCTAAATGTAGTTATTTTTGGACATAATTATTTTTAATTACACTTACTACCATTATTACTTTGGTTTATGGTTGTTTCTGTCTTGCAGTTAAATGACAGATATTTTAATATTCAGAAATCTTTCCGATAATCTTATGCAATGCTTGAAAATAATGTGTCAAATTTCTTTAGATGTTGCTCTCTCAGAGACCATTAGAATGGTAATTTACATTAAGATTAGCTTACAAAATTGAGTTAAATGGAAAAAAACAGTATATAATATAATTTATATTAAAATAAGAAAAAATTGAAGGTGAGCATTTTTGAAGCAAATAGCTCAGTTATCAAACATTTGTGAAGCGTTTTGTACTATTTTAAATTGCTCAATAATTTTCTCTAGTTTATCAAATTCTTTAATCTTTGCATTTATGTGTACATACTACATAGCTCATGCAGAAAAATTGTCAATTTTTAGGCAAAATTTTAACATTAAAAAGGGTTCATTAGAATACAAGTTTTAATCATCTATGAGTCTAAATAAATAAAACTTAAATATTGTATTTAAATGATCATGTAAAAATTTTTAATTTTAGAACTTGATATCAAGATTGACCAAAAAAATCACTTTAAATACGCCATTCGTATCCTCCCCCATGGACACAGTCACGGAAGCTAATATGGCGATCGCTATGGCGGTAAATTTACATTTAAATTTTATAAAGAAAAAAAAATTATCAGAATAATCATGTGTATAAATAACTCCTAAAAAATTCGCAAAGTTTATAGATAATTTTTGTGTATTCTCTCTGCCAAACTCAGAGAGTCAAACCGAGGTAAAATGGCTAAGTTCTATTTTTTCATTTTGAATTTTAAAAACGATTTAGTTCATATGAACAAATTTATATAGGTTCGATACAGTTTTAATCAGTTAAATAAAATCTTCTATTAATTTGCCATTTTTTTTAAAATAAAGTTTGTGATTTCATCACGAAAGATTTTTTATGCCTGAAAATTACAAAATATTTTCCTTATTTTTCAAACTCTGGTTTTTTATATGGTAAGAATTTATAATATATATATTAATTTTGATTTACTCAAAAAATGATCCGATAAAAGAAAATATTTCAAAAATAGAAATATTATCACTAACTGCATATACATACATGGGTCTATACGCCCCGTTGATCATACCTAATTAAATGTTAAATTATGATTTTATTTAATATAGTTTATATATAAATTTTATTTTACAAATAGTTTACATGTTATATATATAATTTTAAAAAAATAAAAGAAATGAGCCCATTAAAAAAAAAACTATTTAAAAAATATTTTTAAAATTTAAAAAAATAAAGGAATAATTCGAAAGTAAAATTAGTAAAAGTTAATAACTTTTTAAAATAACGACTATAATTCAAAATTTATATTAAAAAATAGGATTTTAATTTATATAAAGAAAATTAATTAATATTAAAAAAAAAACCATTATGAAGCAGTTTAAACCGATTGGAACTTATAACTGCTCGGTTCTCTCCTATGGTTACGGTTAGGAAATATATTCTACAAATATTTTATTGCCAATATATCTTGATCACATTTATTATTATGCCATTTAGTTAATTTGTTTTACGAACCGAAGTTAATTTTTGTTTAAAAAATATTTAATTTATTTTTATGCTTAAAATTTTTTGCTAAAATGGTATTTAGTTAATTTTTTTGTTTAGTTTATTTTTCGCTGTTTTTCCTCTTTTTTTAAAAAAGTTTTAGATTTATTTCGTTATTTTGCATCTCTAAATTTGACGCTCTTCCGTAGGCCCTGATTCTGCTTCCAAGCTTCTGTTAATTAGTAATAAAATACAAATCGAAATATAAAATTATAAGATTTAATAATAAAACTAGTCCAATAAAATTTAAAAATGGATTCTTACTATGAATTTTTTTTTAAATGGATTCCTTCCGGTTCTGGTTTCCTGTTCCCTAAACTGGTTTCCTGTTCCCTACACTGATATTTTGTATCGAACTTTGAAAAAAAAAATCTAGTTAGTGTTTTTAGACCTCGGAAATTTATAATGAACGAAAACGATTTTTTTTGTCATTTAAACATCCTTTTTTTTTTATTTCGCTAACACTTATCGTCCTTGAAAAATATGTATTTTTTTAGAGAAAAAAAATTTATTTTTTAAGTTCGTTTTAGTTTATATCCATGTGATACTTAATCGATGATGTATATATATATAGTATTAGATTGGTGATTCATTAATTAAAACTGTCCATGTATTGTAGTCAGCTGTAGCGCTATTTTATGGCTTGCGCTTCAACTAATTTCCTTTATTTTTCATTATACGAATGCGCATTGATGTTAATTTAATCGACGTGTAAACCATAAAATGGCGCTACAGCTGACTCCTGCATTTAATGATTGAATCGCCAATCTAGTAGTATGTATAAAAAGTGATTATAAAAAAAAATTTAATTTAAAAAAAAACAATTAAAAATTTAACCATAGCTTTAATATCATAACTTTATTGTAGTTTTATGATTAATAATAACATAGTATAAATAAAAAGACCTAATAAATAAGGATATTAGAGAAAATTAGTAAACCCGAGTTACGGATTTAGGCTTTATAAAATCGCGTTTTTTTAAACCGAGACCGCCACAATGCAAGGTCGGGTTCGTAAATAGAAAACTTGACCAGGTCGGCAAACGGACTTTTTTTTACACAAGCAGGCCAGGCTTATAAAATTACTTATAATAGTTTAAAATATATTTTATTCGTTATCTTTTTTTATATATTAACCTTGTATATTGTAGATTTAACATTTAAAAAAAAATTTTAATCAAATATTATCATAATTCTATTACTATGACATTTGAAAGGTCTTTTTAAAAAAATAAATAATTAATAAGTATAAATCTACACTTTGGCTTAATTTTGAGCATAATTTATGATTATTTCCAAATTGTTATTTTTAAAATTCATGATAAATAGAAATAATATATCCAGGGGAAAGGGAGCTTCAGATTTTTTGACAAGTTGAGTGGCTAGCTATATTAGAAAAAATAATATATATTCATAAAAAGCGCTGGATTTTTTTTTTCGGTTAAATTTTTTAAAAATAATTTTAAAACTATTTATAAAATCTTTATTTACATCTAATATTAATTATTTTATCATATTAAATCAAAAAATTATTTGTGTTGTGCCAAATCGTCGACATCTTTAGTTAATCAGCTAGATTTTTTAAAAACGGTGTAAAATTAAATATTCTTAATTTTAAAAATTGGCTAAATCGTACCGTATAACGAAGAACTTAACCGATATCAATAGCAGGTACCCAAAGTAATTTTTAAAAAGAGACAAAAACTGGCATGACATTTAAAACCATGAATTGATAAGAGAAAGAATTGATCTACAAATTTTCTAATACACAGATAAAAACCTTTAAATTGAAAAAAATTGTTTTAATTAACTTTATTAATGAATAATTATACTGCAAGTTTCACTAATTTTTTTTTAGGGCCTATAAATTTGAAAAAAAGAAAAATGGAAATAGGAAGGAAAAAACCTATACAATATTTCTATTTAAAATTGGTATTGGCTAAAAAAAAGGAAGTAAAATTCATTTCAGCCCGAGAATTATGTCTTTTAAAAAATTGATCATCATTTATCATCTTATAAAAATAATTGAATTTAGAACTAATAAGATGAGATAAATTTACATTTAAATGCTAAACGGGGAAAAAAAATTCTATTTGACTAAAAATTTAAAGTTAATTAAAAGAAATTTTAAAATAAAATACAAATAAATATCTTTAAAAAGATATATGTCGTAATTTTTTATAGGAATCACAACTGTCCTTTAAGAATTCGATTTTTTTTAAAAGGATAATGAACAATAAGTCACGTTTTAACCGTGATTATTGGAAATTTTTAATTTTATTATTATTTAATTATTTTCAAAGTTGTTTTTTCTTGTCCTTATGAAAGTAGATGATATGTCCAATATAAAAATATGGATATCAATCGATATCTTTTCAAAAGATATCTTCAATTTGGAGTTCAGCATCTCCCTGTATAATCTAGGCCTTGGAGAGTGAGGAATATTATTTATCAGACACAAAATATCGATATAAAGATAAATTAAATATCTTTTAAGTGAAATGATGGTATTCACTTAAGTTCCTAATGAATATAACTTGGTCTAGGAGGGTGGAGGGTTGTAATATAAAAAAATAATATGGATAACAAAGTATAGAAAGGTAATTAAAATCTTTGTTTGAATATTCAATTTGGGTAATTAATAAGATCCGCCCACTTAGAGTGATAATCTATAATTACCCTTTATTGCAGGCAATCATGGCCCGTCAATAGACCCCACATAAAGTGATTAACGATATAGTCCAAAAATATTTAAATGATTTTTTATTTGATATTTCTTATCGAATTTTTATGTTCTAAAATGGGCCAGGCCCTGACAATATTTAAAATTTTTTTTATATTATATACATTTGATGAATTTGATATTTCATAGAAGTAATAAATATAATGTCTCTAATTTAACCACTCTTCAAGGTTATAAATAGTTGTTTATTTTGTCATTCAACAACATACATTTTGGTTTAATGCCTTAATCGGGTCGGGCCAGGCTATCTTAGTGAAAAATTGAAACAGGACTGGGCGCCGTGCAAAAATTTTTCCTGTTCTGGGCAGGGCCTGAGAATTTTATCTTTGAAGACCTCTAATTACTATCATTGTAGTCAAGCGATATTTTAACAGTAGATACTTATATTAAAATTAAAATTCCTGACCCTCCAAAATCAGGGCCCGCCCACTTTGATTAGTAATTAACATTTATAATAAAAAGATTATTTATTTGAGACGCATTCTTATATAAGATTTCGCATTATCACGGTTAAAACCTGATTATTATTATCATTCCAGGCATCCCTTTAAAACCCGTGACGATCCCGGATATTTCTGATTCCTTTAAAAATTACGACATTTATATTATTATTTTAGGAGGTGAGGGACAAAGGAATATTTTTTATAAAATCTTAAAATTCACATTACATAATTTGCGTACAATAATTTTGCATGTATCCTGTTGGTACCGCATGGGTATCCAAACTTTTACATATTTAAAGGTGTAATAGATATTTATAAACGATATTATACAACTTTTATAGTGAGCCTTAATTAGATCTGGCTGATACAGCTCCATTGTCCGTAAAAGATGGCTTCATATCGATAAATGTTAGAAATCCTTAAATATCCCCTCCCCCCTCACCCACCTACCTAAATACGAGTTGGCCATATACCATTGATTTGCCACACAAAATCGTTTTATATCGATTTATGATATAATTAGATTGCACAGTAATAATCGTATAAATACGAAATAATATTATTTTTTTTGGTAAATGGATGATTGATCATCTATCACCAAATTAATATTTTTGAAACAAATAATTGGTTTGACCTTGACAACTTTTTGATGAACTAAAAAATAAACAACCTTATTTGATTTTTCTTTATTTTTTAAAAAAATAAGTTACATGGTGGGATAGGTATCATTCATAACAATTGCACGCCAGAGGTTCAAGCGGCCGAAGTTAATAAAGTCAAAGTGAGTTGGTATACGATATTATATAAAGTTTTTTAAAAAAAATAATATATTAAATTTTAAATTATTTCTCAGTTTTTTTTTAATACAAACAAAGGAGTATCACGCAACCGTTTACCAACGTGTTGAGATTTTATATTCTTGTTCAGTTAATACTGGGGTTTTTCTTTGTCTATTGGGCCAGTTGTGTTTTATCTTCATTGTTGAGGCCTATTCTTTATGTCATCCTTTACGATCTGCACTCCATCATTTAAGGATTACGTTATTGCATTACATTATGATATGCGTCTTATTCATTTGAATAAATGAAAAGTAATTCCCATCCATCCTTCACTTCAATCATAAAATAAACCAGGACTTATTTTTTGGTTTCTACTAGGCTACCTTCCACTTTTTTTATTCAAAAATAAGTACGAATAATTTAATTTGATAATGGAAGTTATCTTCCCCATTTTTATTTAAATTATTTTATATTAAGTTTAAAGTAAGAAATAATTTATGTGATAATGGTCGGAGAAGGATATTGATAAAATATATTTAACTTTCCTCCCGGAACTTGAAATTAAAAACAATCTTTCTTTTATATATTTTTTTTTAAAAAAAAGAATATATTTTATACTTTTTGATATAAAGAGATACAAACAAGGCTTCATTTCTAACCCCATAGTGCTCGGTCCTCAATCAACTGTTTCCGAAATATTCGAGATAAAACGCACCAAAGGTTTTACCGGTATTCCGGTCACCGCTAACGGTACCTTGGGCTCAAAATTGTTGGGCATAATCACCTCGAGGGACGTTGATTTCATGCCGGAGGACATGAGGAATAATACACCCCTGGAGAAAGTTTAAAATTCAGAAAAATATGATATTATTCCGATTTATTATAAATTTCTAATTTTTTTTTAAATAAAAAATTTTTTTTGGTGTTGAGATAACATTCATTGAGGTAAATAATATAATTTACACTTGGGTAACTCGAGGTCACTTAACGCCATTTTTAAAAATCGGCTCAAATCGAACCGTTTAGCAACACTACATAACTCGTCAAGTTGCATGCTAAAAACAAAACAAAAAATTAAGTGAAGAAAACCCTAAGGAAAATAAATTTAAATAAATATCTTTAACGATGAATGAATACATGACTTTTTTTTTATATTTTAGATTATGACTAAATTGGAAGATTTAATCACGGCCCCAGACAATATATCCCTCTCAGAAGCCAACGCTCTATTAAATAGGAGTAAAAAAGGTATTTTAATTGATTTTTATAAAAAATATTATGATCGGATATATTTTAAAAAATCAGAATTTGGACCGGATATGATTTTTTATTTTTTTTAAACTATTTTTTTTTAAAATTAAAATATAAAGTATAAGTGATATTTGTAAAAAAAAAATATTTTAATTTCCTTGTTTTTTCAAATTTTTTTTTATATTTGCCATTAACATCGAAAATATAATCAGGAGTACTTTCCATTTTTTTTTCTTAAAAATCAAACTCTGATCTCAGCAGATGCTTATTAGATACAATTGCATTTGATATCATTATTAGAAAAGCTTTTATTTAGCAATTCAATCATATATTTTACTTAATTTTAATCTCATGGATTGTACGTTATACCTATCACCATATGTATTTACTATTTTATAGTAATACCCCATACTAGCATTTTCGTCGAATTTATGAATTGATGTTATAATTCCTAAATTTTGCTAAAAATGTATAGCTAATTTCAAGGAGGGAGGGGGGGGGGGTATTGTTAACAAGGCTTTTAGAAACATTTTTAGTTCAAGTACTTACATTTTTTTTAAAATTTGTGTTAAGTTTTCATAGGAAATAAAATCATTTCATAATTTTCCTTTAAAAAATTTGGGCTGAATGATTTTAATTTTTGGACAGGACTTGGCAGATCTCACACGAAAAAAATCTGGAGGACATGTCGGACTCTCCAAAAAAATTTTCCGGCTGGGCTGAATAGACCTGCATGAACTCCGACGCCGTGTTCTTTAGAATAGTCTATATGAATGGGATTTTAGGAGCAATTTGTTTTCATATATGATATATCTTTCAGGCGGGTAGGGGGATAGCTTCTAGAAGTTAAGGGTAACGTAAGGTAGATGATTGCTAAATCTTGGCCTGTAGCCTTCAAAATGTAATATTATTACGGGAAAGGTGAAATTCTTTCGGCATCTATATTTGACTTTCTCTCATATTTTATTTTAACTTCATTTTTATTTGATTATTCAGTCTTATATATTGAATATTCTCTTGAAAAAAAAGAAAATTAAAAAATTGATCATTTCAATTAACAAATACAAAACCTTATAAGAATTTTTTTTTAAAATCTTTCCAATAAAGGCAAGCTACCCATAATCGATAACCAGGGCAACCTGGTTTCTCTCATAGCCAGAACCGATCTTATAAAGCGAAGAAACTATCCTTTAGCATCCGTAGATTCTAAAAAGCAACTTTTGGTGGGCGCCGCCGTTGGTACTAGGCCAGGAGACAGGGAACTCAGGCTGTCCTTACTCTACAAAGCGGGAGTCGACGTCATAGTTATTGTAAAGAGAATAAAATGAAAATTTATATTTAATAAAAAATCTGTCTGAATCATAGAAATATTGATAGGATATAAGATATACACATCGGACCCCCTAAATCCGGGATTTTGTTTTAGATACCATCTCCATTCGCCTCTTGTCTTTCCTACGATATTCTAACAAAAGTAGACTTCTTATAATAGCTCAGGTTACCGGATCCAACGTCACCGTCCCACCTGAGTATAGTCCATCATGTATTACCAACTTAAATTTAACAGAAATAATGAAAGACGGTGTTAATAAATTTGACATTTATGGTTACTACTATTCCACATTTATAAACGACCACAAAATATAAGCTCAGCGAGAATAAATGACTATTTAAAAAAAATTAGTTACTTTGAAAATGAATAATTAGTTACTATTTAGTTTGCATTAAAAAACAAAGAGTTTTTTTTTATTTAAAAAAAAATAGGATTCATCCCAGGGAAATTCCATCTTTCAGATCGAAATGATTCAATACATCAAAAATAAGTATCCGGAATTACAGATAATAGGCGGAAATGGTAAAAAAAAAATTTGTTTTTATTATTATTTCTTTATATTTTATACAGATAGATCAGAGATCTGCAAAGTTTGGCAGGTCCGAAAGCCCGTGGGCTGGTCAAATTAAAAAAATAAATTTAAGGGGCCTTATAATTTTTATAAATCGGACGGGTCTCGCAAATATATGATTTTTGTAAAAATTATAATGGGCCAGTCGGGCATTAAATGTTTAATATATTATTTTTTTTTAATTTATATATTTTGATGAATATTATTTAAAATATTCATTATAATCTGCTTAATTTTGTCGTGTTTTAAGAGCTGTCTAAATGAAATACTAAATCTATATATAAAATAGTAAATTTTCACCACACATTACCGATATCAAACACAATTAATTTTTAAAACGAGACTTGAATAGATAGCTATTAAGTAGAGATATAAGAGTCTTAATTGACATTGATAAAAAAAATTATATATAGATATAAATATTAAAAATGCGATGACCGAAAAATTTAATGGCCGAGGCAGACTTTTCGTAAAATTTTAACATGTCATGCCAGGTAACCTGTGTCAAAATTTTTGAAACTGGTTGGGCGCAGATCTCTGATATAGATACTTTCACGTACATATTTATTTTTCCATCATTTACCTATTAGGTTTTTTGTTCCCAATATATTATTTTAATTTCCAATTTTTCTCGCTTTTAAAATTCTAGTCCCCTGAGAAACGTTTTATTATAAGCGAGCAATTTTTAATGAAAATTTCACTAAATATGTTTTGACCATATTTTTTATTTTTCCCATTTAAAGAAAAGAGGTTTATTTTCTTTTTTCCTGAAGTTTTGAAAGTTATCGAATTTAATTTTTTTTTTGATGTTTGGGATGCAGTCTTAAGAAAAAGATTGTATCTACGAATTACAACCTATTTTAAACTTCCTTATGTTTTATCACTTTAAAAAAAAATTAAATTTGCATCTTCGCATAATCAAGTGGTAACCAGAACACAAGCCAAGAATTTGATAGACGCGGGCGCCGATGGTCTTAGGGTCGGAATGGGAAGCGGATCTATTTGCATAACTCAGGAAGGTTTTTAGTATTTTTTTTAACTTCTAACTAATAATTCTAATGACGTTGCCTATTGCGAATGTAATATTTATCACAAAATACTCTTGATGTTTTTAGTGAGGAGTTCCTGAAATTCGCCACATTATCAGGCAAAAAAAATTATTTTAGATAAGTGGCGATCATAATGAAGATTTTTACCTAAAGCAAGTCGCACCAGAGAAATTTTATTGCTATCTATTTTACCGTGTAGCATTGCAAATAAACTCATTGTTCATTGTCCTCGTTTATCTTATTTACTAAACAGAAATCTGTTTAGCCGTCTGTATAGCTTCCTCTAAACAGAAGAAAAAGAAACGGCTATTAGATTTAGTACACACTCAAAACAGAATAGGGAGGGTATCCTAAATCTGAATAGACTGGTCTAAACGGGAATAAGTTTCAAATATAAGACGAACTAGGGACACGATCATCCCACTTTTTAGATCATCTCATTTTTAATTGGTATTATGTTTTTTGTAATTGTGATTTGTTTTATAAATATATTTACATCTTAGTTTTTTTAATAAAAATAATTATTTATTCATCAAGTAACCGCTGTTGGCCGATCTCAAGGCACTGCTGTATACGATGTGAGTAGGTTGGCGTCTCAAATGGGAGTTCCGATAATTGCCGATGGGGGCCTTAAAAATGTTGGCCATATAGTCAAAGCGCTAGCCATCGGATCTTCTTGTGGTATTATAGTTATGATAACATATACTTATAGTGGAAAAGAAGAGAAAAAATAACTTTTTACTTAGGATATATCTGGGACAGAGATCTGCAAAGCTTGGCTCGTTAGGAATTTTTGCCCAAGTGGCACCTCGCCCGTTAAATTTATTACTTGGCCCGGCCGGTTTTTTTAAAATCCCGCGTATTAGAATTTTGCTAAAAAAAATCAGCATTTTAAGAAAAATTCGTCCCGGCCTATTAAATTTTTTGTGCGAATTTTCCGGCCATCTTATTTTATTATCTATATTTGATTTTTTTTCCTAATATAAATTAAGGCTTTTATATTTCTCCTCTAAGACTATCTATTATAAATCAATTGTGTTTGATATCTGTATTGTGTATTTAAAATTGGATCATATCATAAATAAATTGTTAAATTATTTGTGTTTACTATTATTTATAGATTTACTTACTATATCAGTTAGACAGCTCTTAACAAAGAAATAAGAATACTATTTTTTAAATAGTATTAATCAAAATCTTAATATTAGCTTAAAATTAAAAAAAAATGTATCAAAATTTTAATGCTCAGACTAGCCATTAAAATTTTACGAAAAATCAGAAATTTGTGAGCTCTGCCTAATTTTTTATGTATAATTATGTGGCCCGACCCAAAAATTATTTATATAGGAATTGCCCGGTTCGGCCTGTTATAATTTTTGCCCAACCACGATCCGGGCTTTAGGACGTGCCAGAGGCTAACCTGTAAACTATAATGGGTATTAATTTTTATTCTAAGACTAAGATTGTAGTGATTTACCCAATAACAATTTTAATTTATGCCCGATAAATTAAAAAATAATAAAATCTGTATAGTAAAAAAAAAGGTAAAACAACCCCCCCCCCTCTTATATGTCATATATAAATTAACAAATTGTATCGATGAATTGATTTGGGTTCATTATTCATTGACATAAATAAATTGCAAAATTTAAGATGCCCAAAAATGGTAATTCAAAGCGGAAACAAGGTTTGCAATGATTTTATACCCTTATAAAACTGTTTTCTGTTTATTAATTATCCTTAATTGCGTCGCTTATATTAAATATTATATAGTATAAATTTTAACAGTGGCTATCGCTAATTTAGACTCAATTAGTTTAATGATGATAAATTATTTGATTATGAGTAAAATAAATAGATAACCTAAGCATTCAATAATTTTTTTTAGCAACAGCAACTATTATGCCTGGTTTCAGGCTAATTCATGAATGAATTCATTTTTTAGAAAAAATCAGAGACCTGCAGAGATGCCATTTGCACTGCTCGGGTTTTATATTTTCAGGCCCTGCCCGTATTTTTTAAAAATAAAATTTTTATAGCTAATAATGTCGATTTAAAGTATTCGGTTTTAAAATATACGCCCGTCCAGCCCGGGTATTTAAAAAAAAAATTAGGCCCATCCTGGCCCGGGGTCTCTGAAAAGAATACCACGAGCATCTAAATTAAAGGAGTCATTCATTTAGATAAAACTTGTTACGGGTATCCTGTCACTAGGTAATAAAGTAAAGAACTAACAGTTATATAGCGCACTTATAACTATTCTCAATGGCGTCGTTTTGGAAGGGGGGAGCTTAAGCCCCTTAAATCTCCGGAGATCTGCCTTGAAAAAAAATTAATTTTTTAGGATATCCATTTTCCTTCTAGAATGAACTCCCCCCCCCCATCAAATTGGAAACGCTATCTTTCCCCCAACTATTCTCATGGGACCAGAAAACTTGTAAACTTTACTTTTCTATAGCGTTAATTTATTTTTGATACTACTCTTAAGTTGTTTGTCCTACACAAAAAAGATGGGTTAAAGCATAACTCTGTATTCACAGCTAGCGCCAATTCGCGGTGAAGTATGCAAAATATGATATAAATATAATAATTTCGCATTAATTTTTGTATATTTCCCCGCGAATTCGCGCTGACTGTGAATGTAAAAAAACTAGTAGTGCACCATACTTGATATTGGTACGATACTCACACGGTGTGGGTGAATTTTGTTCGTTACTTTTAATTTTACCAGTGGCCGATATTCTAAAGGATCTTCACAATTTTAAAGTCTTCATTTAAGTTAAAAAAACAGATTTGGACAAGTAGGGTTTATAAAGATAATCCGAGTTATACTATTTACCAAATCTTATTTATGCATATATTTTTTCCCCTCTTTTTCTTTCGTGTCAGTTATGATGGGTTCCCTCTTAGCCGGAACTACTGAAGCCCCCGGAGAGTATTTTTTCTCTGACAATATGCGACTCAAAAAGTACAGAGGTATGGGATCTCTCGATGTCATGTCAAACGAAAGTCAAAGCGGGCTGAGCCGATATTTTAGGTTTGAAATTCCTTCTCCAATTTTTTTGTCCTAAATCTTTTTTTAGAAAAAAAACGATTCGCGCATTTTGTCAGGTGTAGTGTTAAAGTGAGGAGTAAATATATTAGTCATAAATTATTTTTTTTTTTTAAATTCGATAAAATATTTTAAAAAATTTTTTGGTCTACTTTTCTAAAACCGGCAAAATAATTATTTAATAAATTATATAAATAAGGTGCTTAAAAAAGATTCTTTTAAAAATTATAATAATAATTCGATTTACTATTTTGAAAAATAAGGAAGAAGCCAATAGCACTTTTTAGCTTCCGCGGCAGCCATGCCTACATTCATTTAGAAATGGGTTTACGTTTATTTTAAAAAAGTGCTAAAATTTAATTTTTTTTAAGTTTTATAAACTATTCCTAAATCCTAATTCGTGAAATTTTATGCTCAAAATTATTTTTTTGGGGGAATAAAAATGTATTCTAGCGAACATGACACAGTTAGAGTAGCTCAAGGTGTCTCCGGTGCAATCATGGATAAAGGTTCCGTCCACAAATTTTTACCTTACCTCACGGCAGGAATTCAACACGCGTGCCAGAATTTGGGCGTTAACAATTTAGATCATCTGAGGTAAATAGGTCATTTTCTTTCAGAGTTTGGCGATCAAAAATTTTTTTTTTTAATATCTAAATTCGCAAGAAAAAATAAGAGAAAATAAAGTCGTAATTCGGTGCAGATATTTTTTATAAATTAAAGAATGAATATTCTTTGCTATATTTAGTGTTATTACACTGTTCTATTTGAGCTGATTTTTTTAAAAACGGATAAGTCAATATTTTATCCAAAAAAAACGCAAGAGGATTTTTCTCATAGGTGGCACAAAGGTTTGGACATCTATACCAAATGTCGAGGCTTATGTTTTCCTGGCTAAAATATTGAATTAGTCGTTTTTTCGAGTCGTTTAACATCAATAACTATTAGCTTAAATTATTAAAATAAATAATTTGGTAGAAGCCTAAAAAGGTCAACAAAATGTTTAATTTTTGTTTTCCTGTTTTGTTCGGTTTTTTTTTTAAAAAAAAACAAGGATTTTTTATGAACGGGCCGAATAAACTCGGTCCATGCTTGAAAATGAAAATATTCACAAATGCGGTTTAAGCATACTAAACTAATAGATAGGTTACATTTTTGAATAATGAAAGTCAACCAGGACCGGGTTAGACAGCTCCACAATAAAAAAAACGCGATCGGAGGCTGGATATGTTTGGCTGACTAAATTACTAGATTACATTTCTTTCTAAACTCGATCTTGAATGCAGCTGATCTTTTTGTTTTAAAAAAACTTTGAAATTTTGTTTGCCAATCAGCTTATATTTATTATTTAAGAAAAACGTTAAAAATAAATATTTGACATCATTTTATTATAGACTTATGATGGAAAAGGGTGATTTGAGATTCGAAAAGAGAAGTCCCTCGAGTCAAATGGAAGGAGGGGTCCATGGCCTTCATTCGTAAACATTTATTTATAATATTTTACCTTGTCAAAGTTATCATTTTAAATATGTAGAATAAACAATAATATGAATTTAATACTGGCTGTTTTCGTATTGTTAAATATAAAATAATTCAATATTTTTATTGTTAATATTAAATGTACTTATGATATATATAACTTTTATATTATATCTAAATATAGATACGAAAAAAGATTATATTGAATGAGGTACAAGTTTTTCAAAAAAAAGCAATACTTATATTTAATTTTTCTATATTCCAAATCAAGTTCCAATCTATACTAAGTTCGTGTTTTACCTCTTAAAAATTATTAGCGATGTAAATTATTATATCAGAATCATTTATTATAATAAACAAAATCAAAATTTTGACCAAATATTTTATTATTATTTTTTTTTATTAATTTGAAAATTAATATTTTAAACATTTTTAGCAAAATCGCGTCACATTAATTTTTGATATTATTGTACTTATTGTAAATTTTTAACCAAAAGACTGTTTTAAGTTTGTTAATATATACATTGTGGAGATATATCCCAACCATTGTAGATTTCGTTTGTATATTATTTTTTTTAGTCACCTTATTATTATACATATATTTTGAATCATAAGTATCACAATTTTTTTTTCTCTCTAAAATCCTCAAATATTTTGTGTTATATATTATTTTAGATGTTATTATTTTTATATAACACTCACATATCCGAATACAATATATGATATCCAAAATTCATTCCTTATTTTTCACATATTATTATATCATTTTCTTACCCGGTGTATTATTTTTATCATAAATCATGTTATATTATTAAAAAAAGGAACAATAAAAAATGCACCAAATTATATAGATCATGGTTACTTATTATATTTTAAAAAATTTCTATAAAACTCTTTTTCCTCTTTGTAATGGGATAGTATTTGTTTTTTTCAGCATTAGATATTCAAAGTCTTTAATAAAAATAAATGCCCATCTTAAAAAATATATAAATCTAACCCTAGTCAATACATACCATACTCATGTTTAGGTAAAAATAGAGCAGATACTTAATGCTACGTTCACCGCCATGAATTATATCAGTTTGGTTAAGCCGATGATGAACTTTTCCTCTTATATCGGATTTGCTTAATATGACGGTGTCTTGACCATTATACCCCATTGAAAAATTTTAAAAACAATTATTATACTTATATATATATCGACTGGGTGGCCTAATGGCTTAGATGTATACTTGGAAATAGAAGGACGAAGAGGATGCAAGTTCAATCCTGGTAAGGAGCATAAAACTTTCAGGTATTTCTTCGATGACTGATGTGTAAAGACATATGGTAAGATGACTTTCGAAGCTTAAAGATGACACCCCGGTCACCGACAGGCCTGGACAGCCGGGTGCTTAGGATACCTGTCTAATAAACAAAATGAAGGAAACAAATGAATATGAAAGCTAGGGCGTTCTCTCCAAGCGACGCGCAGGGTGTAGACCTCCATCCTGTGAAAAGAGTAAAGGTCAAAGCAAAGAAGACAAGATTAGCAAGTTTAAATATTGGGATGCTTAAAGGTAAGACTAGAGGATTGGCATCAATGTTGAACAAGAAAAAGTTGATATAGCATGCATACAAGAGACGAAATGGAAAGGTCAGAAGACTTTAATGATTAGGGGTGGGTATAAATTGTACTATAATGGAATTGTTAGCAATAGGAACGGTGTCGGCATCATCCTCAGTCAAGATCTAACCTCCTCAGTAGTAGAAATCTACAGGATCTCTGATAGACTAATGAAGAAAAAACTCTGCATTGGTAAATCAATACTACACATCCTTTCAGTATATGCTCCTTTGGTGGTGACTTAAATGCGCATGTGGGGAAAGCAAGAGATAGCTACAAAAGGCATCATGGTGGTTTTGAATATGGAAAAAGAAATGATGAAGGAGAGCATGTACTGAAATTTGCGAAAGCCTTCGACCTTGCTTTAGCCAACACCTACTATTGGAAAAAAGACAATCTAATTACATATGAAAGTGATACAAGGAAAACACACTCGTAGAAGATTAAAAGATGTAATAGACTGCAAAGTCATCCCAGGAGAAGTTATCGCCCCACAACATAAGCTATTAGTAATGGATTTACACCTCACAAATAAATCCACTCAAAACAAGTTAAAACTGGAACCATGCATCAAATAGGGTAAATTAAGAACAATGACAGATGCCTTTGCAATCAATGCAAACATTGAAACAATAGATTCCTCACAAGTCAGTGAAATAATGTGGACAGACATTTCATCCAGATTGATAGACACTGCCAAATCGACACTAGGCTTGACAAGGGGAGGCAACAAATCATACAAAAAACTATGGTGGTGGAATGGAGAGGTACAAACCACTATAAAGGAGAAAAAAAACCCTATATAAAATATGGTACAAATCCAAAAACCCAGATGACAAGACAAATTACAAAAAATCCAAGAGAATAGCTACAAAGGCGGTGGCTAGGGCCAAAGCTATGGCATACGATGACATGTATGAAGAACTACATACCAAAGAAGGGCAAAATAAAATATACAGATTAGCCAAACAGCGAGAAAAGAACTCTAGGGATATAAACGGACCCAAAGTAATCAAAAATAAAGATGGGAAATTGATAATAAAGGAAAAAGAAATAATGAATAGATGGAAAGAATATTTTCAGGAGCTTCTCAACTTTAATCCCCACATAATACATCTAGACGAACACTCCCCATATCAAAACCTTATACAATCAATAACAGAACAAAAAATAATCACATGCCTCAATCATATGAAAAACAACAAAGCTAGGGGTCCAGATGATATTCCAATAGAAAGCCTTAAAGCACTAGGAGATGATGGAATACATTTCCTCACAAATCTATTCAATAAAATACTTGGAAATGAAGAGGTTCCCCAAAAATGGAGGCAGAGCTATCTAGTTCCTATCTTCAAAAATAAAGGGGATCCACACAATTGTCAAAATTACAGGGGCATAATGCTAATTTCACAATGTCTAAAACTATACGAAAAAATAATAGAAAAAGATTAAGAGACATAATCGAAATAGGAGATACTCAGTTTGGCTTTATGTCTGGAAGACCAACAACTGAAGCTATCCATGCAATTAGGCAAATGAGTGAAAAATACTTTAAAAGAATAAAAAGCTACACATGGTCTTTCTCGATCTAGAAAAGGCCTTGAATAGAATCCCAAGAAAACTTATCTGGTGGATACTACGCCACAAAAAGGTTCCCGAAAAATTTATAAGAATAATTCAGGATATGTATATGGGCTATACAACAATGGTCCGTAGCACAACAGGTACTTCAGCAGGCTTCACAATAGCCGAAGGAGTTCATCAAGGGTCGGCTCTCAGCCCACTTCTCTTCATTACAGTAATAGATGTATTAGCACAGTCTATACCTCAAACAGTCCCGTGGAATATGATATTTGTAGATTATATTGTGATACTTGCCGAATTCAAGGATGAAATGAAAGAAAGATTAGTGAGTTGGATAAATATCCTAGAAAAGCACGGACTAAAAGTAAATAGAGAAAAGTAAGGTGATAGGAGGAGATGAAACATAGAGTATTGATATAAATGAATGGCAAATATCGAATATTAAAAGCTGCAAATATTTGGGGTCCACTATACAAACTAACGGCACAATAGAAAATGAGATAATGAGTAAAATTAATCAAGGGTGGTTAAAGTGGAGATCTTTATCTGGATAGCTATTTGACAAAAGAATCTCACACAAATTAAAGGGGAAAATTTACAGTTCTATAGTACAACCAATTATTCTATATAGTTCGGAAACATGGCCAACCAAAGAATCAGACGAGAGAAGTCTACAAACTATGAAGATGAGAATGCTGGGGTAACAAGAAAGGATAAAGTGCACAGTACAAGAATACTAAGTAGTTTAAAGGTAGTGTCCATTAAGACTAAGTTAATGGTAAACAGACTTAGGTGGTATGGGCACGCAATGAGAAGGCCTATGAACTACATAGGAAATAAGGTTGAGAGTTTGGAAGTTATGGGCAAACGTAAAAGAGGAAGGCCAAAACTTCAATGGGGCCATAAAGTTAGAGCCAATACAAAGAAGTATAAATTAGATAAAAGAGATTGTATGAATAACATAAAGTGGAGAGAGATGTTGAAGGAGCTTACCACCAGAAAAGGTGAAAGCTAAAGAGAAAAAAAAAATTATACTTATATATAATTTTAAAATTATGTAAGACTTCGTTCAAAACAAAAATTTATAATGAATTTATGGTTTATATAACGCCTATGATACTCCAAGCAACTCCTTTTTTTAATGTTAAGTTGGTCGACATGATTGTTTTTAAATAATACCATGCAAATCGAAAAATAAAGTCATCTAAAAATATAGAAATTGTAACTCTATCAAATGAAATAATGTGTGATATCTTAGAAATATAATATAATTGAACATTGTTGCTCCCTCGATTCTCTTATCACTATTAATAAAAGGGGTATTACATATAAGGTTTCGTTGCATCAATATCAATAATCATTATCAAATCGGAACTGATATTGACATCTTGAAGAAAATATCGCTTCGTCAATATTTTCTTAAACGAGATATGAAATTTTTTTAACCAACCTGTCCACCATATTTTTTCGTTCGCCCATTTTATATGACTCATTTTTTGATGGTCATATTGTTTCAATTCTGTATCAGCCATGTCGACGGTATCTTTTTTCCTATTTCTCCATATTCAAATTATTTTATATAAAAACTCATTTTAAATTTATATACTGATAATACACATGGATTTTGAATAAGTGAAGAATATATAGAAAAATTTTGTAAATTGGAATTACTTTTCGCGGGTACCGGCTAATACAAATATAGGAGTATCAAATACATTTACGATTATTTGAATTGAAGTGAATGATCGCTAAGAAGGGAACTCCTCATTGATAGTTTATATTTTAGGAAAAGATATACTATACTTAGAAATTGTTTATTTATTAGTGCTCTCATCTAATATATTAGAATCGGGTAAAATAATTATTTATTCTGTCGTAAGTATTGATGTTCGAAAATTTAAAAAATGATTTTATTAAATGATAATATTACGAAATCTTAATATTTTTTATATAATTTTCGCCTATGCATTTTGTAAATTTTTAGGATATAATCTTACTATCTTAATTATTTATCTACATTAACAACTAAAATTTTACAAAATACATAGGGGAAAATTATAATTTATAACTAGTTTTTAGCAGGGAAGCGAACTCTTAAACCGGTATTAATCATTATTTAATGAGCTTAACCTGGATCAATAAAATATTTATCACCCGAACCTCTAAAAATATATTTGAACGTGTTGGAATTGTTTGCTATTTCAACTGTTTTAAAAATTAATAACAAATCAATTTTCATTGGTTAGTAATTGCCTAATTGATATTGCAAGCAATTATCGTACAAAAGTGTTTCTCAACCATAAAAAAATTATTTCTTATTTATATATGTCGTAATAGGATATGGGAATCCATGAAAATTCTGAATTCCTCGATTTTTAATTCATTTACCTAGATTGATTCTAGAAGATTTTTTAAATCCCATTTAACCGGAAATGAATTTCAGCATTATGTAGAGTATATAACCTATAAAATTCAGAAATTTTCGTTTTAAAATTTACATATAAAAATTAAATATAAATTTAAGGAGTATTTATAAAATTATTTTGAAATTCAGAGTGTAGGTTATCTTTAAGTGCTGGAATGCATTTCCGG